GAAGCCCGCCGGCAAGCTATATGGCCGGCCGATTGCTTGTATGAATACATGCAGTGTGTGGCTCCTCATCCATTGCCGTGTCCCCCTCACTGCTGTGCTCCCCCCCTCTCCCGCTGCTGCCAGTAATCCCCGGGCTCCGCTGTCCCCCCTGCAGGCCCGGACCGGCACAGCAGCTGCCTGTGCTGAAAATGGAGGAGAAATCAGCATTCCCCCACCGCTGATCTCTCCTTCATTATCTCTAAAAGCGGAAGCAATGTGTATTACATCACTTCCACCTTAAGCTGTCATTTCTCTGGCTGCTATAGCCATCTTCTTCATCAGAGATCTGCTTCATCGGCTTCTTTGGGGGTCCCTGGGTGACATTAGCGGTCTTAGAGACCCATAATGTCACCATAAAGAAGACCTCTAATTTTATATTAGCTATCACATAAGGGGCTATGTGATAGCAATTAAGTTAAGTGCAAAAAAAAAAGTTAAAAAAAAAATTAAAGTCTCATATTAAAAAAAAAAATATATAGAAGTCCCCCCACCCCCGCATGCACGCACTTATAAATGTAAATACACGTTGGGTGCACCTACATGCGAAAACAATGATTACGCCACACATGTTACATATCGCTGCAAATGTCGCAGTGAGAGCAATAATTCTAGGGCTATTAATCACTGGTAACACTAAACTGATGAGCGGTAAAAGCTTTTAAAGCGTCGCTTATGGGCAATTTTAGGCATTTTTATTTGTTTGCGAATTTCACGAGCGCACAAAATTTTTAGATTTGACATGTTTGGTGTCTATTTACCCGATGTAACCCCGTTATTCTGACTCCGATTGTTGTGATAGCAAAATATATCCCTTGCTGAGACCTCTATGCCTGGCCTGTATAAGCAGATATACTCACTGCGGACAATCCTCGTCAGATAGCTGAACTCGTCAATACCGATTCATTCAAAAGAGGTGTTTATTCTTTAACATCAGGTTACAGCAGATGATAGGAACAGCAGTTGAACGGTTATAGTATTGTGCGGTCAGAAAATGATGCCTTTCCTCCGTACTGTGCAGATTACCTGTGTGTCCTTGTTACATGTGGCTTTCAACTGTGGCCATGACACAGGAAGTACTGCACACAGGAAGAAGGAAGGGGCGTACACTAGGGGGAAATACATCGTCACATGAGGAATAATTACAGAAAAACATGTACATTACAACAAAAGGCCACTAGATGGAAGCATAGGATAACACATGGATTTAGCTATGAGAAAATAGTTAGGCAAAACACACTATGTAAAACTTCTATCTATATTAACTTCTATAACATATTCTATGCCCCATTGGGGCGGCACACCCGTTTTTTTTATTTTACCAAAAAATTGGCTAAGGGTAAATGTTTGATAACATAACGTAGGGAAAACAAGTTGTTTTTAAAAAATTTCTGAACTTTTTTCATTATATAGTAAAAAATAAAAACCCCCAGTGGTGATTAAATACCACCAAAAGAAAGCTCTAGCTATCCCCAAACAAATGGTATAAAATTCATTTCAATACAGCGTTGCATGACGGAATAAATGTCAGTCAAAATACCTCAGCGCTGAATATTGAAAAATGGCCTGGCCAGGAAGTGAATTTAACACCCCGGTCAGCAAGTGGTTAAGCCACAGCTGACTAGGTTAGGTAGCCACTTAGGGTCAAGAGACCTTGCTATCTTGCTAGGAGTGAGGAGGATGCCCACTGCCAGGACATTTCAGCAGTCATAGGACTCTTAACACACCTTCTGGATAGTGCTTAACTAGTTCCGAGAACCCAACCAAACTATCCAGCACCAGACACCACTCCTCGGCACTAGCCAAGGTACGCCTGTGCAAGTTCTGCCCATGGTAAGTTTTGTCATGTAGATATGCTAATGGAATCTACTGTGTGAATGTGTTTCTGGAGGAAGTATGCAATCTCCTTTTCATACAGAGCTATATTTCAACAGAGAGAAAGGAGAAGTGAGTGC